TGGCCTTTGTTACTTGAGTAAGTATGTTCTTAGGGGTGTCTCTTCACCTAATGCCCTAAAGCCAACTGGTTTGGGAGTCATTGACAAAAAACTCGTTACATGGGTAACTTAGAAAGCCTAAGGAAACTCGACCTATGAAAAAAAAAAAAAGAAAAAGAAGAAAAAGATAGTAATAAGTGCTAAGGTGTGAAGGTCTAAACTCAAAACTTCTTACTATGAATTTCCACACACACAGTAAGTGCTCATGGGCTAAATCTTTTAACAAGTGGTGTGAAGAATAAGATGTAGTATTTTACTTTAAGTGAGCATATGAGAACTTTTGAATATTTGAGACTTTGCCTCTAATTGACCTTTAATTCCTAAATTTTCTTTGCATACATATCATATAGTTGCATTCTTGCATTGGGATTTTGTGGGTAGATCCACTGCAAACCCTCACGAGACACAACTCGTCCACTAGGGTGACCTAGGGGTTTAAAGGCTTGTTGCACATGCTAAGTGCAATCGTGATTCCTACGAAAGTGAGTTAGATTTTATTTTTGTTTTTTTTGTCTTTTTATTTTACTCGAGAACGAGTAAAACTTAAGTTTGGGGGAATTTGATGAGCTAAATTTATATACATATTAATAGGGAATTTTTACTTTGATATTATTGATATTTGGATGAGTTTTATGGGATTTTGTTTGATTTTACATGGTTTTCATTCTTTGTGTATGAAAGGATTTAATTGGAAAAAATCTTACTTTTTAGAAGTAAATTGAAGAGATCAGAGACTTGAGGATCAACTTGTGTAGAATCCAGAAGTCAGGAACCAAATCTGCTATTTGACCATTGAAGAAATTGCAAAAGGAGACCAAAAACCCGACACGGGTGTAGTGTCGAAACATGATCGGGGTGTCGACACCATGCGCTAAATGTCCAGAATCAGATTCTTTTTCCTATTTTGTGTCAACACGTAATCCGAAGTATCAGCACCACGCGATCAGCATCTAAAATTCAGTTTCCTATTTCTGTTCCAAGTCTTACTTCTATTTCAATTAGGGTTTCTAAAATCCTATAAATACCCATCCAAATTCAGAATGAAGAGAGTTTGTGGAGGCTGGTGGCAGCCCTCTTTTGGGCACTCTTGGAGGTCAAGATAAAAGATCCATCAATGAAACGATCAAGGATTTCAATTACCTCAAATTAGGTTTTATTTTTCCTTAGACATTCTTATGCTCATAATTGTGATTTTAGATTTTATTATTTTTATTATGAACTGATTTATTCTATTAAGGCTACGATGTAACCTAATCAATTCAATATAGATTTTATGATTTTATATTTTCAATTAAAGTTATTTGCATGAGGAGTTTATATTATTGAACTTAATGCATTGGAAGCCTGATCAC